TTCTGTTTAATAAAGTCGTTTTTTCTTAATTGAATAATGGAGTGATCCCGTAAACACGCGCGTGGGCAGCAGCTCATTAACACCAATTAAATATGCAAATGAGGCGGCGGCGCTTTGATTCTTTGATTAAACTTGACTCGTTGTTGATTTGCGTCGCGCGCGCTCTCCGCAAACGCACGAGCTCTCCTCCTCAGACGCACGAGCTCTCTGCAGACGCACGAGGAGGAGACTTGGCGGGAAACGCTTTAATTACAGCGGGAGCGCGCGGAGCCTCACGCGCTTCTAATTAACCCTCCTCTTCCTCTCTCCTGTCTCCTCTTCCTCCCTCCTGTCTCCTCTTCCTCTCTCCTCTCCTCTTCTGTCTCCTTTCCTCCCTCCTGTCTCCTCTTTCCTCTCTCCAGTCTCTTCTTTCCTCTCCTCTTTCATCTCCTCCCTCCTTGTTTCCTCGTCTCCGTCCTTCCTCCCTCTGTCCTCTCATGTCCACTCTCCTCCTTTCCTCTCCTCGTATCCTTCTTCCTTGCCCCCCCTCGTCTCCTCTCTCCTTGTCCTCTCATCTCCTCCCTCCCTCCTCTCCTCCTTTCCTCTCTCCTTCTCTCCTCGTATCCTTCCTCCTCGCCCTCTCTCCTAGTCTTCCCGTCTTTCCTTCCTCTTCTCCTCATCTCCATGTGTCCTCCCTCCTTGTTTCCTCTCTCCTCTCCTTGTATCCTCCCCTTGCCCTCTCTCCTAGTCCTCTCGTCTCCTTCCTCCCGCTTCTCCTTGTCTCCATGTGTCCTCGTCTCCTCTCTTCATGTCCACTCTCCTCCTTTCCTCCCTCCTTGCCCTCTCTTCTTGTCTCCATGTGTCCTCTCTCCTCCCTCTCCTCCTATCCTCCCTCCTTGCCCTTCTCTCCTCATCTCCTCTCTTCATGTCCACTCTCCTCCTTTCCTCTCCTCGTATCCTTCTTCCTTGACCCCTGCCATCTCATCTGTCCTAGCCCTCTCGTTTCTTCCTTCCTTGCCCTCTCTCCTAGTCTTCCCGTCTTTCCTTCCTCTCTCCTTGTCTCCATGCGTCCTCTCTCCTACTCTCTTTCTCTTCTCGTGTCCTTCCTCATTGCCTCCTCTTGTCTCGTCTCCTCTCTCCTTGCCCCTTCTCCCTGGCTGCTCTCTCCTAGTCCTTTTGTCTCCTCCATCCACCCTCTCCTCCTTTCCTCCCTCATTTCCCCCTCGTCTTGTCTCTTTGCTCCTCCTTTCCTCTCTTCTCTCTCCTTGTGTCCTTCCTCCCCGTCTCCTCTCTCATCTCCTCCTTTCCTCTCTCCTTCCTCCTTGCCCTCTCGTTTAGTCTTCTCGTCTCCTTGTCTCCATGTGCCCTCCCTCCTCATCTCCTCTCTTCATGTCCACTCTCCTCCTTTCCGCTCTTCTTCTCTCCTTGTATCCTAGTCTTTTCGTCTCCTTCCTTCCCCCTCTTCTTGTCTCCATGTGTCCTCTCTCCTCGTATCCTCCCTCATTTCCCCCCCTCTTCTTAACTCCTCTCTCCTCGTCCTCTCATCTCCTCCCTCCCTCCTTTCTCCTTGTATCCTTCCTCCTTTCCCTCTCGTCTCTTTCCTTCCCTCCCTCATCTCCATGTGTCCTCTCTCCTTGTTTCCTCTCTCATCATATCCTTCCCCTTGGCCCTTCTCCTCCTTTCCTCTCTCCTCCTGTCCTCCCTCCTCGCCCTCTCTCCTCATCTCCTCATCTCCTCTCTGCATGTCCACTCTCCTCCTTTCCTCTCTCCTTCTCTCCTCGTATCCTTCTTCCTTGCCCCATCTCGTCTCCTCTGTCCTAGCCCTCTCGTTTCTTCCTTCCTCCCTCTTCTTGTCTCCATGTGTCCTAACTCCTACTCTCTCTCTTCATGTCCTTCCTTATTGCTTCCTCTCGTCTCCTCCTTTCCTCGTATCCTCCCTCCTTGACCCTCGCTTCTTGTCTCCATGTGTCCTCTCTCCTCGTCCACTCTCCTCCTTTCCTTTCTCCTAGTATCTTTCCTTCTTGCCCCCTCTCCTTGTCTCCTCCCTCCTTGTCTCCTCCCTCCACCCTCTCGTGTGTCCTCGTCTCCTCGTCCCTGGAGTGGAGGCGAGCGGTGAAATGAGGCTCTAATTAAACGGCGTCGCGTCTGGGGCTGTGGTTCTCTCATTAGAATAATATTAGAATAAACCACGGAACTAATTATTAATCACGCAGGCAATTACAGCTCGAGCGCGTTACGGTTTGGGAAATCAGGACCGAAAAAAAAAAACAAAACTGAAAAATCTGTAGTGGACACGCGGACTCGTCGTTTCTCTTCAGTATTTGTCCATTCAGATGTTTATTCTCAAAAATCACCAACGAGAAACGACAACTGTGGATCAGAACGACACAAACGAGGCTAAAAACGATCGAGCTCTGGATCAGAATCGTCTTTAAGAAGCTCGATGTCAGAAACTCTAAACGGACAAAAGTTCAAACTAATGTCGTAGTACTCAAGACCTTTTCTTTGCGGTCTTGGTCTTGTATCGAACTCGACCGTGTTTGGACTCTGTCTCGAATGCGTTTGGACTCGGTCTCGTCTCTGTCTTGAAGGCGGTTGGACTCGGTCTTCCGTCTCGAAGGTGCTCAGACTCGGTCTTGTCTCGGTCTTGATGGTGCTTGGTCTCTGTCTTGTCTCAGTCTCATCTCGGTCTTGAAGGCGCTCAAACTCGGTCTCGTCTCGGTCTTGAAGGCACTCGGACTCGGTCTTGTCTTTGTCTCGAAGGTGCTTGGACTCGGTCTTGTCTCGGTCTTGAAGTCGCTCTGACTCGGTCTCGTCTCGGTCTCGAAGGAACTTGGACTTGGTCTTGTCTCGATCTCGAAGGCGCTTGGACTCGGTCTCGTCTCGGTCTCGAGGTCTGATACTTGACGAGTGATAAAATGGAGACAGATTTATAAAAACCTTTGTATATTTGTGCTAAAATAACACTAAAATACAAATAAATGTAAAAAATGACAAAGACGGTCTCGATTTGGTCTTGGTCTCGTCTTGTACAATGCCTAAGGAAGCTGAGGAGTAACTTTGAACCACTGCAAACCGTTTTAAATAAATAATTTGGTTTAATATTATTTTCAGGACTTTTTTAAAAACAAAAATCAGGTTCTATTTGAAAAAAACAAAAACAAAACTCAAAACTGTTCAAATGTGTCTGTAAATGTCTCATTTGAGGTTTAAAATGTGTAAGTTTCAATGTTATTTCTTTGTCTGGAATGTCCCACAGTGTGGCATTAAACCTTTTTATCTTCACGGAGACCAAACCAGACCAAGTTACATGTCAGATCTGTGGAGAGGCAACGTCGCTCTGTCAGAACGTCTGTTTTTCGAGGCATTTTTTGAGCTTCAAAACCACCTGTGATTAAATAAACGTAAAGCAGAGCCGTTTAAAGTCACACTGCGGAACATTCCAGGCAGAGCGATGGCGTATCCATGGAAACAAGCAGGCGACGGACCCCCAGCTGAAAACGTACACAGCGCATTTGTTTTCTAAAACTGTTCCTGAAATGTTAAGGTTAAATATTCCAAATTACATCTTGGAAATTAATATTATCATGAATTCATATTAACTCCACGGTTAATACATGTAATATAAAAAACAATTTATTTTATACATCAATAAAATTTGCTTATGTATATATATATATATATAAAAAAAAAGAACACTGTACAAACTTAAAACTTAAATCAAAAGTTAAACATTTTAAATTGAACTACAGTAAAAATGTGGTGGGATAAACTCTGTTAGTCTTGTTGTGTTGCATTGTGGGAAACGGAGTCCTGCTCTGAGCCGCCGGACTTTATCAAACCCCCGAAATACGCCGTGATGGTTTTCAGTTTGTTATTGAGAAAGTTCTGCTCCACCTCCACTCGACCCCGGGACCGGCCAAAGACGCGATCTGGAAAATAAACACACAA